TTGGAATTAGAATTATGCTGGCTTCATAAAACAAGTTTTGAAGTCTTCCTTCTTCTTGAATTTTTTGAAATAGCTTGAGGAGAATGGGTGTTAGTTCTTCTTTGAATGTTCAGTAAAACTGCTCCGTGAAGCCATCCGGTCCTGGGATTTTTTTTGCTGGGAGAGTCTTGATTACATCTTCAATTTCCTTAGTTGTTATTGGTCTGTTCAAGTTTTCTATCTACTCCTGGTCCAGTTTTGGGAAACTATGTATTTCTAGAAATTTGTCCATTTTACTTAGATTTTCAAATTTGTTGCCATATAATTGTTCATAGTAGTTGTTAACAATCTTTTGCATTTCTGTGGTGTCAGTTGTTACTTCTCTTCTTTCATTTCTGATTTTGTGTATTTGGGTTCTCTCTGTTTCTTGGTGAGTCTAGCTAAGGGTCCATCAATCTTGTTCATCTTTTCAAAAAACCAGCTCTTTGTTTCATTGATCCTTTGAATTGTTTTTTTGGACTCTATGTCATTTATTTCTGCTCTGATCTTTAGTATTTCCTTCCTTCTATTTGCTCTGGGGTTTTCTTTTCTCTTTTTTTTTATCTTCACCCGAGGACATTTCTTGATATTTTGTTGAGATAGAGTGGGAGGGAGAGAGAGAGAGAGAGAAACATCGACGCGAAAGGGACACATCGAGTGGTTACTACCCACATGACCCCACTAGGGCCAGGGACAAGCTGCAACTGAGGCACGTGCCCTTAGCGGGAACCAAACATGGGTCTCTCCGGACCGCAAGCCAACGCTCTAACCTCTGAGCCAAACCGACCAGGGTTCTGGGGTTTTCTTTTTGTTTGCTTTCTAGTTCTTTAAGATGTGAGGTTAGATAGTCTATTAGGGATCTTTCTTGTTTCTTGAGGTAGGCCTGTAGTGCTATGAAATTTTCTCTCAGAACTGCTTTTGCTTCATCCCATAGATTTTGTGTTGTTGTGTGTTCATTTTCATTGGTTTCCAGGAAGTTTTTAATTTCTTCCTTGATCTCCTTGGTAACCCATTTATTGTTTAATAACATGCTATTTAGCCTCCATGCGTTCAAATGTCTTTGCATGTTCTTGTTGCAATTGATTTCTAGTTTCATGCCATTGTGATCTGAGAAGATGCTTGATATGATTTCAATCTTCTTGAACTTGTAGAGATTTAATTTGTGTCCTAACACGTGGTCTATCTTTCAGAATGTCCCATGTGCACTTGAGAAGAATGTGAATTCTGTAGTTTTGGGTTGTAATTCACTGTAGATATTTATTAAATCCATTTGGTCTAGTGATTCATTAAGAGTCTCTCTTTTGTTGCTAATTTTTTGTCCAGAGGATCTATCTACTGATATCAGTGAAGTGTTGAAGTCCCCTGCTATGATTGTATTGCTATCGATTTCTCCTTTGAAGTCTTCCAGAAAATTTTTAATATATTTTGGTGCTCCTATATTGGGTGCATATATATTTATCAAGGTTATATCTTCCTGTTGGATAGATCCTTTCAATATTATGTAGTGGCCTTTTTTGTCTCATTTATGGCCTTCATTTTGAAATCTATTTCATCAGATATGAGTATTGCTACCCCAGCTTTTTTTTTTTTTCCATTTGCTTGGAAGATTTTTTTCCATCCCTTCACTTTCAACCTATGTGAGTCTTTTGTTGTGAGCTGGGTCTCTTGTAAGCAACATATAGATGGGTCATGTTTTCTTATCCCATCAACTACTCTGCATCTTTTTATCGGAGCATTCAGTCCATTTACATTTAAGGTGATTATTGATATGTACTTATTTATTGCCATTATTGTTTAGTGTGGTTCTATTTTTTTTTTCTATTTCTCCTGCTAATTACAGCTGTCCTTTTAATATTTCTTGCAGTACTGGTTTGGTGCTAACATATTCTCTTAGCCTTTTTTTGTTTGGGGAGCTCTTTATTTGACCTTCTATTTTGAATGATAGCCTTGCTGGATAGAGTAGTCTTGGATTCAGATCCTTGTATTTCATGACCTTGATTACCTCATGGCTTTCCTTTCTAGCCTGTAGTGTTTCACAGTGGGTTTTGGAGCCTGCTAAATTTTCCCTGTGGGTGTTGGTGTTCTGCTGTTTGTGGCACCCTCTACTGGATTTGGATGAGTGTGGAAGGACCCACGTTAAATACCAATGTCAAGTCTTACCTTCCTGGGCAGAGTTGCTAGAACAGGAATGGTAGAGTTATTCTTTAGTTTTTGCCTGGAGGCTATTAGTCCCAGTTACTTTAAGAGCCTTGGCTTCTCAGTAGAATGAAAAACTCCCTCAGGTGCTCAGTGTAAGGGGATTTCCCGAGGGTGGGGCAGATGCTGGTTGTTAATTAGCCTCAATTTGCATTTCAATGGCCCTCCTGGATGGGGTTGAATCTCCGAGGGAGGGGCCACTATCTCTCCCCAGAGCCCTGGGAAGGAGTAAGATGGCCACCATCCTGCATGGCTGCAACTCAGCAAAAGCTCTGAGCCCCCTCCAAATCCCGAGTGTCCCCCACACAGTTCCAGTGAGTCTGTCTTCCCTCTGCCGGAGCCCAAGGTGAGTGGCTGTAGCTATTTTAACATCTGTCCCAGCTCTGGGCTGTGGAGCCGCTTGGGAGTTTAACCCAAGCGGTGCTGCTCACAGCTTAGCTGAGGGCGCTGCTCACAGCTAAGGCAGCTGCTGTCTGTGGGCTCCCAGCCACCCTCTCACGCCTCCGCAGTTCTACCAGGATTGAATCAGTGGCCCTAGTTATATGGTCCTCCAAGCTGCTTTTCTGTTGCTTTTTCCTGATGATTTGTCTTTATTTTCATTGTAATTCCAGTTTGGTCCTGGGAGATGGTCTGTGTAGCTTCCATTCACTGCGCTGCCATTTTGGAATCTCCCAGTTACTTATATATTTTTTATATTAAACCCTTCTCAAATGTATGGTTTGCAAATATTTTTTCTCATTCTGAGGTTGTCTACTGGCTGTGTTGATTGTTTGCTGTGCTGAAGCTTTTTGGTTTAATGCAATCTCATTTATCTAGTTTTGCTTTTGTTGCTTGTGCTTTTGGGGTCAGATCCAAAAAAATATCATTGCCCAGATCAGTTTCAAGAACCTTTTTATTTCATCCTCATAACAGTCATATTGTATAGTGGTATGAAAATTACTTTAAATTTGAAACATCTGAACCATCAACAGCCACAGAAAGGAACATTGTCTAAACTTAAGCAGAACCTCCATAAAACATAGCTGTCGTTGACCCTCCTGTGATAGTTTCCTGTTTGGGTGAAGACTACACCAAAAAGTCTAATGGACACCCTGGCTGGGTCAGCTCAGTGGTCAGAGCATTGGCCCTCGGACCAAAGAGTCTTGGGTTCGATTCTGATCAAGGAAATGTACCTCGGTTGCAGTTCAGTCCCCAGCCCTTGTCAGGGTCATGCGGGAGGCATCTAATTGATGTGTATCTCTTTCATATTGATGTTTCTCTCTCTCTCTCTTTCTCCCTCCCACTCTATCTGAAGATAAATGGAAAAATATCCTCCAGTGAAGATTATAAAAAATGAAAGTCTAGTAGAACCTTCTGTACTTTCCCACTGAATGCCCCCTCCATTTTTTTGGTTAAGCAGTATATAAACCTTTACTTCTGATTATTGAGTGAGTTGCTCCTTATGAGTTCTCCCATGTGCACATGCAAATAAACCTCATTTTTTCCTCTGTTAATCTGTCTGTTCTCAATTAATTCTCAGGCCCATAACCATTTGAACTTAAGTGGTAAAGGAAACGTGTTTCTTCTAACAGTTTTGGCAGTAAGGATGGGATGGTTGGGACTTCCTGCTTGCTACAGAGATTCTAGCTGAGATCCTAGGAACTCTGACCAAGCTGGGAAAGATCAACTTTTTACTGGTCAAAACTTGTGTTTGTTCAGAGTCCAGTTGAATGAGGGTGGTAAAGGACTCTTCTGTCTTTTCTAAAAGAAATTTTCCAAATTTTAGTTCTATAGAAGAAAAGTTTGGGGTTAGAACTAGATTTTTGGATATTGTGACTCTTGTTATAGATAACCACAGTGTCCTGTCTATTTGTCTCTGTCTTTTGTATTGTTGTTTGTCATAAGAAGGAGAATCGTAGGGTAGACACAGGCAAAGGTTCTATAAGCCCATTGTTCTAGCCAGCCTCACAGACCACTTAGTATGCAGTTCTCATTAGATTGGTCTTTAGACAAACTTTGCTGTGAGTCACAAATAAAACTTGATGTGGTTCCCTTTCCAACTCTATGTTTTGTCCTGAGAGTTTGGCCTAGACCCAGAGAGACTTCTCTTTGATTTCCCACCTGCTGGGTAGCATGGATTGTTGAGTCTTCACTCGGAGGCAGACAACCCTTAGGTTGGGGTCTAATATACGATGTACACAAGCAATACTTTCCTATCACTGTTACCAGCTCTCAGGAGGTACATCTAAGTCTAAATCCTACATCTTAGCCCATAAGGACCTTTGTGGTCTCTTTCTTTATTGCCTTTGTAGTGCTGAGAATTTTCATCTCAGTATCATGGATAAATGGGTCTATGATTGGAGGTGTCTCATCTTTGTAGGAGATTGCAAACACAAATACCTAAACACCATTCTTACTACCTGTAGCAATGAGGGTCCTTGCTTTCTTTCTCCTTGGCTAGTTTTGAATATGTGAACTGCATTTTTTGTGCCCTCTTTTACTTTTATCCATGTTTAACCCATAAAAAAGTTCATTGGTTTAAATGACATTTAGAATGAGTATACTTTCTGAAGTTGAGTTTGGAGTCCCAGGCTTCTTTGCTCAGAATATACTTCTTGGGCTGTGAGTTCTTATTCCTGACTTTCTTTCTTTCTTTTCTTTTCTTTTTTTTTTTTTCGTTTTTTTTTGAGACCTCTCTGTTCTCCCATCTTGGCTCTCATGGGAACTTCTTAGTCAACTGACACCCTCTCCCCTTCTCCAATACCTGATGACTACATATGTGCTCCTTTCTTATTGGCATGTTTTACTAAGGTAATTTGGAACTTCAATAGCCCCTTTGAGAAACTTGAGATCTCCCCACATTGGCTCCTCTAAGAGCTCTTTCTTATTATCTCCTCCTCTCCATCCTCCTTTCACCACTTTTAACCTTCCATTCAGCTTCTTCAACATGTCCACCTCAAACTCTTACTTTTCAATTCCTTTGCTCATCACTGCCAGACTTTTTCCTTCCTACTCCAGTCCCTTGTCTTTCTGGTCCTCTGCTCTCCATCAGGAGCTCGAAGGAATCAGGGACCCCCCAAAGCAGTGATCTGTAGCTAAAATTCTAATTGGAAACAGACTGAATATTGTATTTACTCAGATGAGCTTCAGAGACATCAGATGGCTGGTTGCTGCATCTTCCCCATCTCTTGCCACAGCCTCCATATCAGGGCAAAAAATAAAAATAAGGAAAATATTAAAAGCTCTCTCCATAAATAATTGTGGAAATTTTAACCCTTATGTTGAGCAGGTAACTCAACTTTTTACCTTCTGTAAAAAAGATATTTGAATAAAGATGTAAAGTAGAGCAAATACAAGAACCAATGAATTTTTATTACTGTGTTTATGCCTGACTCGTGGCTACAATTTTAGAATGAAAGCCATAAGATCTCCATTGGCATCTCTCAGTATGTTTATATATGTATTATGTATGGATAGGTCATATTTTTCTACTTATGTACAGTATTGCCAAGTTCACTTATAAATCTCCTTAAAGGCAATTCTAGGTTGCCTTGTAGCTCTCCTTTTTTCAAATACTGCAAGCAGAAGCTGGTCGATTGACATAAACTTCAAAAGGCTCATCACCACAATGGTTTGGACTGTGTCTTCCATGTTCTGCTGAGGGAAATAATCATGAATCATGACTGTGACTCTGTTGTCTATACCATCAACAACAACAAAAATTCAAACTGTAAACCAGGATATCTATCAGATTGACATTGCCATCCACACTCCACCATGTAAAGATGCTTTGAACTCAATGTCTAGAAATCTTCTTGACTAGTTTTACTTGGAGTCAAACACTGAGTTTGCAGTCTGCTCCAACAATCAATATTTATTTTCCTTTTTGTTCCTGTAGAAATACCATTTGTTAAATGCTCAGGACTGAGAGACTAGTTCAACAAAATATGAGGCAATGTGTTTCCATTTATTCTTCTTTTCTTAGTTCTTCTAATCTATGTTCTTTTCCTTTATAGATCTCTTACCTCACAACTTCTAACCAGAGTCTTCTGTCCACAGGAATCAATGCAGTCCCTTATTCGTGAAACATCCCTACATGAAGGGACTGTATCATCTCCCAACCCACTCCACATGCCCTTTGCATCTCATTTCCTGCCTCCCTTCTCCTTCATTTTGCTCCAATTCCTTGGATTCTTGGCTGTTCCTCAAATCTGCAAAACATGCTCCTCCCTCAGGGCCTTTGTACTAGCTATTTTCTCTGCCTGGGATGTTCTTCCCTCAGATCTCTGTAGGACTTCAGGTCTTTACTTCGATGCTCAAATGTCACTTTATTTTTTTATTTTTATTTTAAAATATGTTTTTATTGATTTTTTAGAGAAATAGAGATAGAAACATTGATGCAAGAGAGAAACATCAATCAGCTGCCTCCTGCATGCCCCCCGGCTGGGGATCGAGCCTTCAACCTGGGCATGTGCCCTGACTGAAAATTGAACCAGGACCTCTTAGTCCATGAAACTATATTCAATCCACTGAACCACATCAGCCAGGCTCACTTTATTTTTTAAAAGCCTTCATGATGATCATATAAAATAGTCTCTGTGGCAAGTTGGACCCTCTGGAAGCAGACAATGAGACAGAGTTTGGAATGTAGGATGTTTATTAGGGGTCAACACTTATGAAAGGAAGATCTGGGAGAAGGAGGATTAGACAGAGGGAGAGGTTGAATTGTGATTCAGGCTTGAAAAAACATTGGTCAATTTGGCAGGGAACTCTAGAGCAAATGTTACCCATCAGAATTGTCCTGTTTTGGGCTGAAATGGCCAGGCATTTATACCCCTGCTGTGCTCAGCCATTGGATTTGGGCTGCCCTCAGAAAGGCCTGACATTGGACAAAACAGCAGTCTGCAGCTGAGAATAACCCTGAAAGAGCTGACAGCTGAAGTCTGCAGCTGATCACTCCCCACATCCAACACACTGAAAGGGGATCTGAGGGGGCATCTTTGCATCTACCACCCACCTTCATCGTAATTAAGTTCCATGAGGTCAGGGACTCATCCTCTAATAATCATTGATATAGTGCCAGCACTTAGAACACTGCCTGGTTCATAGTTGGACTCAGTAAGTGCTGACTGAATGGAAGGAAGGGAGGGAGGAAGAAAGAAAGGGAGAAAGAAAGGAAGGAAGAAAGGAATCAGTTACTAGATTGAAGACTTTATAAAGATTATGCATAAAATAGTGCTTTAATAATTTCATTCTAGTGAATAATAGAGCTCCTCAATCATTCATCATGAAAATGTTTTAATCAGTTTTCTGCATTCCTCTTATGTTATGGAATCATAGAATAACAGAATGATGATGCATCTAACAACCTGAAAAAGTCTGTGCTCTCTTCGGTCAGATTTCCTTTTAGACAGTGTCTTAATCTGCTTGAGCTGCCATAACAAAATACCATAGACTGGGTGTCTCTTCTCTACCCTCCTTCATTCTGATTCCATGCTCTGCAGGGAAGCCCAGTACTGTAAGGTTTCTTTTTGGATTTGCCTCGGGAATAAATGTGCCAATCAGCAACCATGAGTATCTGCCCCACATACACTTCTATCAGTTAATTAGTGTTTTATTTTAGTTACTCAATTATTATTCAACATTCTATTTTATACACCTATCTCTGGTGAATGTGATTAGTGTAGGTCAGAATCTGAGACACTGTTCACTTCTGGATCCCCTGACAATGTCATAATTCTACAAAGAATGAACCTAAGACTAGACACAAGGAGAACAGTTCTTTGATGCTGTAAGAAGAACATTCCTTTTGGGCCGTGTCTAATGCTTACAGCAATTTGTAAGGACAAAAAGATATTTTTTGAATGCTGACTTTATTATGAAATCCCTGTAAACTCATGCAAGCCTTTCTCTGTTTACCTAAGGAGAGTTTTATAGAGATAAGAGATATAAAATTTGTTTTATAAAATTTACTTATAGCACTTGTCTTCTGAGGGTAACAATTATAGAATTACTTTGAGCTAATTCATACCTAGCACACATAAATATCACATAAATGCAACCTCCAAGGCAATTTAAAACTAAACAATATACTCACATATGTATGTGTTTATTCAATAATGCATTGCATTTAGATAGGGCATTATGGTTTCCAAATGTGTGCAAGCTCACTTGTTCCTTGAGGAAGCAAGGAAGGCTGGTGTTAATCCACCCAAGGTCACCTACTGAGGAAATGGAAGAATGAGGCTTTAAGTTCCAGCCTTCCCAGGGATGGCACAGCTCTGTTTTTATGGTTTTACATGAACACTTGAATATGATGATCCTCTTCTCCAAGGTTCCCAACATTTGGCATGCGTGTAAACTTGTTCTAACATTCTGTAGACATCTCCTAAGCTTACCTATCCATCCGATCATGCACTTCATGTGCTCCACAGAGAAAAAAAGGAAATCTGGCTAACTTGGAATATAAGAGAAACTGCTCATACTTCCTTTTCTTGAAACTATCCTCTTGGTGCTCACAGTTAAAAAGAGCTATCTGATCCAAAGAGTAACCTAGATTAAATATCTACAGGGGATGTTAAATCAGACTTGATAAAGCAACAAAAGGAGTTAATCAGGAATGAGCATGATCTACAGCTCACCACATAGTTAAATTAAGCTCACAACACACTATGAATAAGACAGAGTTTCTTGTGCCAAGTTCCAATTTATCTTCACTAAAACTAATTTAGGAGGGAGGGATGTCCTTGTTCTACTTCACTTCAAGTCTCCTTTAGCCTTTTTATTTTTCTTCAATCATCAAGGTTCTGTTGATCTACTTCTTTCTAGGAAAAATGTGCTGTGTTTTCCTTTACTCTCATACACAATACTCTGACACTAGTGTGGTTTTCCCCCCACACCAGACAATTCTCTGACACAAACTGGGTCTATTCTATTCTATTCTATTCTATTCTATTCTATTCTATTCTATTCTACTCAACACTAACTGGAGTTGGCACAGACCCCATGGGTTAAGGGCTCAATCCCATAAGACTGCCTCCCACTTCAGACACCAATTGCAAATAGTAGGTTCCCAGGTTACCCACAACTTCTATCCAACTTGGTTACAAATCAGAGAGTCCCATGACCCACTTTTCAGATTCAATAATTTGCTAACATGGCTCACAGAACCCCCCAAAAACCAGTTTACTTACTAGGGCTGATTTATTATAAAGGATATTTCATAGGATACAAATGAATAGTCAGATAAAGAGGTACCTAGGATGAGATCCGGAAGGGTTCTGAGTGTAGGAGATTTCATCCTCTTGGAGTTGGGGTGTCACCTTCCAGACACTTAGATGCATTCACTAAGCTGGAAGCTCTCTGAACCCCATACTTTTAGGATTTTTATAAAGGCTTCATGACATAGGCATGATCTATCATTAACTCAATTTCCAGCCCCACTTCACTTCCTGGAGGATGGGGAGTGGGGCTGAAAGCTCCAAGCTTCTAATCACAGCATGGTTTTCTGCTGTCTGGCCCCCATCCTGAAAGTCTCCAGGAGCCCACCAAGAGTTGCCTCATTAGAACAAAAGACAGTTACCCAGGAAAACTCCAAGGGATTTAGGAGCTCTGTGTCAGGAGTTGGGTATTAGGATAAAGGATATTCCTAGTGCTCTTATCATTAGGAAATTAAAGGTTTAGGAGCTCTGTGCAGGTTTTTTTTTTTTTTTTTTTATCCTCACCCGAGGATATTTTTACATTTTTTGTACAGATAGAGTGGGAGGGAGAGAGAGGAAGGAGAGAGAGAGAGAAACATCGACGTGAAGGGACACATCGAGTGGCTGCCACCCGCACGACCAACCAGGGCCGGGGACAAACTGCAACCAAAGTACGTGCCCTTAGCGGGAACCGAACCCAGGTCTCTCTGGACCGCAGGCCGACGCTCTAACCGCTGAGCCAAACTGGCC